TGGACAGGTGTCCAGAGTCTGCAGTCTAATCCTACAGCTGACCCCAGCATCTCCTACAGTGCTCAGGAATTGCTGTCTGTGAGTGACATGTATCTGGGAAAGGCAACCTGCTAAACTTGTCCTAAACTGAGCACAATGAACCTCTTAGGACCCAGAAATTGAGTAGACTTTAACATGAACTGGGTTAGGTTTAGAGTTAGGATTAGGCTTGGAGCCTGAGGATACAATGGGATATATTTGATTTCCTGACTGATTTGTTTTTCTGATCTCTTGGTTAATATTCAAAATAAGTTGAGTTGTTCAATGTGAGTTTATATTTGAATTTACCAGGGCTGACAAACTTCTGTGGATACCGGATTTACAAGCAGAGGGTAGGGTTTAGGATAGAGCAGGCTGAGGGGCAGGGCTGGGGCAGGTCAGCTGTAGCTGGCCCATGAATTTCTTCACCCTGTCAGTAAGTGAATGTTTTATAGCCTGTAGTACCAAAGTTTTGTATCTCACTTAAGTTTTTACTTGCATGGGGCTTTTTTAATGTATCATAGGGTTTTTAAGTCCAACTTTGGTGGACTTTTTTATTGCTGAGTCATCCCATCATTTTTTGGACTCCTTATATTCTCTTGGCCTTAGTAGTTTGTTGATAGTGCTAACTGCATGTGCTGTATACATAGCAGTTCCTCCTGGGCGCCAAGCAAAGAAGGTGACAAAATGCCACATCTAAAGTGCATATCACAAGTTTATTTTTCTGCACAAACAAATAGAAAGTGACTGTAAATTGGAAAAAAAAGGGGAGAGGCAAAACTGGAAAGGAAAAAAAAGTATTTCCATAAACAAAGATGCCAATTCTGTTCTTCTTCTGGGGTCACTTCTTCCACCAGACAGAGCACTGCTGCTGGGCTTACATTTTCAGAGCATTGATGAGTCTCTTCTAGGAAGAAGGTCTGGTAGAGGACGCTGGATATTATAGCAGAAACAGAGCATGTTCTTTCCAAGGGACAATCATGGCTTGCATTGTGCTCATGTCTGGTGGGCAGTGACTCCTCATCACACCAGTCTGTTCCAAGATTCTTCCTCTCAGCTGCTGCAGGACCTTGAGGTTATCTCTGGCAAGTGTTCGCTTATATTCAGAGGGAAAGGACTGATACTTCTGAAGCAAAGATAAACCCCCCAGAATTGCCATGTGTAACCTGCAGCATGCTGGAGAGGAGGGATGATAGGCAGTTTTAAATCAGAGCCCATGCAGACATCTTCAAGTGCTTAATAAGGGGACACTGGGGTTTGGCCTACCTCTGCAGCTTATAACTTAGCACGTGAGAGCTAAAAGTTGTCAAACTGTTTATGTTTGTGCTTGTTCAACACCTGAGGAATTAGAAATTTGGAGAGGCTCGAGACAAGCTTATACAGTTCAAAAGTATTCCTTACAACCTCACCTGTGACCTTTCTAACAGGCCAGCCACAATATTTTCATGAGCAGACACTAGCAGAGCTGCTCGAAGCCAGCAGCAGGGCAGGTTTCTTCCTTATATCTTAGCAGATGTATCTTAGTATTATTTCTCATCTCATCCTACTTGCAGCCACAGGCCTTATTTGCGATATGCCACAAGCACTGTAGGCCTTATCTGCAACACCCTCTGGTTCTGCAGATCAAGTCCCATGTCAGCATAGGATCCAGAAAAGATCAAGGGGGACTGAGATCCATAAAACTACTTTGGCTTTGCTTTTAAACATAGCTTTGAACCAAGGATGTTAGATGTGAAATGCAGGATCCCCAGCCTTCTGGTTCTTTTCCTTGCTCTTATGTTTAATATTCATTCTCCAATCGGACCTAATCGTTTTCATCTCCTGCCCATTACATTATCAAAAATGATGGGCCAGATGCAGTTATTCCACTCACTTGGGTCCTGACATCTAACATTCAACAGTTTTTGGCCATCACTCCTTGGCTTGCATCAGTGTCTCCCAGAAATCTGGAGTGGGACCACGGAAATGCTAATCACATGCAATTTTCCTTACATGCTAAGGCCAGACCTCTCTTTTTCCAGTGGCAAAATGAATTTGCCAAGACACTCAGGCCCTGAGAACACTTACCTTTAGAGGCCTGATGGAAAGGGACACTTGATTAAGATTGAGATTTTCTGAGTTTATTTCTTCACTGCAGAATTATTTTGAGCACCCTTTCTCTGGTCCACACAACCCATGCTCTACACATGAGTTCAGTAATGCTTTCAACCTGGGCTAGCTTGTCTGTCTAAGGCTAGTGGCTAAAACCGCTAGCCAATAACAGCACTCCACAATGAGACTAGAGACAAAGCTTTTGGAGGACTGCTAGTCCTTGAGTTCCTTCCCACAGCTTCCCTAGAAAAACAGAAGACTCCTCTTTCCATGTTTTGGAAGAATCACAGAGACTCAGCTTGCTACAACACACAGGATTTTTTTCCAGAAACGCTGGCAATGCAGTGCGGTACAGGATGAGTGAGAAGGCAATTGTGCAAGTTAGGTTTTGTAGCATGGCTGCACACCTTCACCAGAGCTAAGTAGGTTCTGGTGATCTGAATTAACTCTGTGGTGACAACTTGCCCTAAGACATGTCCCCCGGGGCTTTCTAGGAACACATACAATCACCTCATCAGTTCAGGTCAGCTCCTTCTATGTCATACAACCAGGTGCAGCATCTCTTCTGGCTCAGCCACCCCTTTGCTCATTAACTGAAGGCATTTGCGAAGGTCTTCTCTCCATCCTCTCCCATGGCTGATAGTGCTGTCCTCCTCCCTCCTCAGTATGCTCATCCTATGTTTCAGGGCCCCCAGGAATGTGCACTGCAAACACAGGCCTGCAGAACAAGCCCAGCCAGAGTACAAAGGATTCAAAGGCAGGATTGTATATTACTTTTCCTTTTCTCTCATTCTTTCGCTCCCAACCTTGTCTGGGACTAGAGCTACTAGCTAGGTTCTCCAGCCCTCTTTTTCTTTGTGGGAGAGCACACATGCAAAATCTTTAGGTGCTCACACAGAAGCACTTTAGAGCATCCAAGAAAAAGTAGAGCTCCCAGCTTTCGTGAAAAGAGCTACACATTCTAAGATCCAGCTGCATGGAGGAAGGTTGGCTTGGACTTAGTGTGAAGCCACATTAGCAGCACTCCTTACAGACTTGGCATCAGTCTCATTTGCACTCCTTTTTTTCTCCCCAGAACCTACAAGTTTGTACATCCAAAGTTTGTGCTCAGTCCAAAGAACAACTTCTGCTTGAAAGAGACAAGCAAGTCTAATGAGATGGACACATGTCTCAAGCAGGGCTACAAAACCCTCATCCTGCCTCCAGTACTCATTCCTGAGGGTCTAGCAAAAGGCTGGGCAACTGCTGCCCGGGAGGAGGTGGCAAGACCCTTCCTTGCAGCTGGAGCATCTGCTGTGTTTGGGAGCCAGTGCTTCAGGAGCTATGCTTTCTTGGTGTACTTGTGGGATCACACTGTAAATCTGGCTGCTGCAAAAGGGGGAGCACAGGTGGAAAGAAAATGGTAGGGGTGTGCGCAAACCAGAGCACAGATGACATGCACACTCAGATCCACTGTCTCTACTAATATCCTGAATTCTTCCTTGTTAAGGGAATGCTTTCCTTTTGTATGCCTTTAGTGTAGGGATTAAAGTCTGAGGTTAGCCTGGGACATTCGAGGAATAACCAGTCCTGTTTCCCCATCACTGCCACCAAACTAAGCTCTGTATGTGTGTGTGAGTGCAGATCCTCTGGGACTCTCAGAGCACTTCAATTTTTACCAAATAGACCCCAAGGATACTTAAATCATTTAGTATGAAATTCTGTTTGTGATTTTGTTTCCCGGTCCTCTACTTCCATACTGAGAGCATCTGTAAAGGGGCTCTGTTTTCCAGCTCATCACAGAATTTTCAGCAAGTTTTATTTCATGACCCATTTCCAATCTAGCCACACTTCTGTTCTAAACTAAACAAAAAGATGATGTGCAAATGCATATCCCATCATGCCTCCTTTCAAAGACAACTGTACCTTCTTCCACGCAGTCCTCCTTTGTACTTACAGCATCTGTATTGTCTTCCAGTGGGACTATTGCTGCAGGGCCTTCCTTGCACCAATCGGCCACAGCCTGAGCTTACCTTTGACTTTGTGTATCCTAAAAATGGATACTTCCTTCTGCAGTTCCTCCAGCTTGTGATAGCCCCACCAAGTCCATTCAATGCTCCTCTTTGGCAAACTGCTCCCAGACCTGATAGCCATGTTTAGCACCAGCTAGGATGACTCTCCCTTTTACCACCAGCCCTCGTGACTGGAGAAACAGGCACACATGGCCACCCTCCTGTGCAGGGCACACTGCCCACGCATGCGTGTGCAGACACCCCTGCTCACTCTACTCTCTCACCCCCTTTCCCATGCTCCTCTGGAGGGGAGTCTGGGAGAAGTGTCCAAGGCAAAACCCCACTCTACTTTCACTCCCTGCTGCGTGTTGCTGTGTGCATGTGTGTGTGCACACACAGGTGCATGTGTACAGACTGACAGGCTTGGAGAAAAGCAGTCTAATGAGGAAACGAGGGCTTCTGTGCTGTAATCCCACCCCTGACTCTTTCTTCCTGGAAAGCTCTTGCCCTCCAATTTCCCTCCATTCAGGGGTGACTCCAAAGCCCTTAGTAAAAGAAAACCACTACCACCTACATGTCCTTTCATGGCACCCCTGCCATTCACCTCCTCCAGAGGTGGATTTTGCTGCTGCACGCAAGTTCCCAGTCTCTGTGTACCACACGTGTGCTCTCTCTCCACATTCTTCCTCCTGCTGTAGCCACATCCAGTAAGCCTTGTCGTAAAGCTGCCCATCTGAGACCAAGGGGAGGCTGGGGGAGAGGGTGGTGCAGAAGGGGAGTAAATTTTTTTTTCTCTTTTCTTCATTTTGTGTCACTCATCCCAATGTACTGAGCTGACATGAAAGACAAAACGAGCACTATCTCTGCGGGGCCACAGACAGCGTGGGAGTGAGGCCTGCCTCAGTGGTGGCCAAAGCTTGGTCTCCACACATTGGCTTGCATCCCCGTTCTTGCTGCTGAAAATTTGGGCCTGGCCACCTGAAACCGAGAGGCCAAGGCTGGGTTTGGGGAGGGCCCCTGGCCTGCCTGACCAGGCTCTGGGGAGCTCTGGTATGGCTTAGGGGACTGGCTGAACTCCACCTGAAAGGGTGCTGGTGTAGCAGGGGCAGAAGAGGCCATTTCTGTTCTCCACACTGGCTCATCCAACATGGTGGCTGAGCGGGGCACAAGCACAGTGGGTGCCAGGCTGCTTGAGGATGGCATGGGAGCTGGAGTGGAGAAGCGACGAATCTCCTGGGTCTTGGCTGTTTTCACAGGTACCTGTTTGGCTGCTGTGAAGGACAAGCTAGCCTGCTGACTAGGAGACTCCTGAATGCTGGGGCTTGGGGGATCCCCAAAACAGAACATGGCTGACTTTAATTGATAGGGCTGGTGGCGCATTAAATCAATGACCTTGATCCCTGATTTCTGGCCAGGTGCCTTTTTCACTTTGCTCTCTGCCTTGCTTGCCTGAGATTTGCTGGCTGCCAGGGGATAGAAAGGGGAATGCATTGGGTTGTAAGCTATTGGAGGGGGAGCCCGGATGTTGGGTGAATATTTCCAGGATGAGGGTAGAGAAGGGGAAGGAGAGGGGGTCCTGGGCTTGGACTCTGGCTTCGGTGTTGTCTCCACCACAAATTTGTCCATGCGGCTCTGGCGTTTGGCAAAGAGCTCTGCCCCCTTGCCTTTAAGCTGAGGCATGTCCTGGGCCCCATTTACCAGTCCAGCATCTTGCTGCTGAGGCTTAGGAGCCACTGGAGGTGGGGTCTTGAACTTGCGTCCAGAGGACTGCATGAAGTTGCAGGCCTCAGCACCCAGGCTGAGGAAGTCCTCCTCAGGCCCAGACTCAAAGCCTGCCCCAGGGTGGTCACCTTTTGGCTTCTCATCCAGGTTCTGCACCAGAGACAGGAGCTCAGGATTGGGTGAATTCTTCTTCTTCTCCTCAATCTTACTGAACATGGGTTTCTTGTTGCCCCGCCGGCGAGCCTCCTGCAGGATGCCTGTGCGGGGAGCCGGCACGGCAATCCTCTGCTCCCTGGAGGTTAACGGCTCAGAAGGAGGTCGTGGCATAGCTGGTGAGGCAGCAGGAGAAGGCTGCTTTGGCATGGGGAAACTGCTTATTGTGTGCTGTGATGGTCCTGGACTAATATACAAAGAAGAAGAGGCTGTTCCAGGGACTCGTGGCTGGGATGCTGTGGAGGCCACCTCCCCTCCTGGCTTTGAAGGAGTTGACAGAAAGATAGAGGTGGTGGATGTCCTGGCAGAAGTCTTAGTTTCTGGAGTACTTCCTCCCCCTCTTGGCTGTGACTCCAGTGGTGGTGTTGGCCTTCCTGGTGCAGGAATATACAGAGATGTGGAGGAGCTGACTGGACCGCGGTGTGTTGGCACTGGTGCATTGGCAGATGTTCCTGCAGCCAGAGGTGAGAAAGGGGGAACCACCGTACTTTGCCCACCCAGACTTTCACTAGGTTTTTTGGGTGCAGATGGCCTGAAAATGACAGAGGATGTTGCTGGACGTTGACCAGAAAAGCCGGGAGTAAAAGGCCGTGCAGACCTGTTGAACATGCTCGTTGAGCTTGCAGAGAAGGGGTCGGGGGTGCTTGGGGGAGGCAGGAAGGAAGTGGGGCCAGGGGGAGCCAGGAGCTGAGCTGGGAGGGTGGCTGGCTGCTTGCTGGGCACTTGCACACCTTCCAGATGGATGCTGTCTGCCTTCTGTGGCACAGGCATACCTCCGTTCACTGTGTCCTGCTGCAGCTGGGCAGCTAGGGCAAGATGGGGGCTTTTCTGTGCTGTGACTTTCTCAACTGTGTACTTCCCAGCCCGTTCCCTCTGCTGCTCAAATAATCGTGCTCCTTTACCTGAGGCCTCACTCAAACCCTTTTGCTTCTCTTCCTTCCTCTCAGAGTCAGACTTGGATTTTTCAATGTCCAGGTAAGTGTTGTCCCAGTCTGAGTGATTAGTTAGGCTTCGGGCATCAGAGAAACCTTCCTCATCAAATTCAGACTCACTAGTTGGAAAAACTCCGTCTTCTTCCTCGTAGGAGCGGTCTTCGTCGACACTCCCAAAACTTACCAATGTATACTTCTTAGCCCTCTGCCTGCGCTTCTTGAACATCAGCACCCCCTTGGAGTGGGGGTTGGGCGCATCTGTCAGTAGGGATGCAATGGTTCTGCACTTGGTTTTGGCTTCTTTCACATTCTTCTCTTGGATGCTCTCGTGGCGGTGGAGCTCTGCAAGAGACAAAAAGAGGCAAGCTCAGAGCTCAGCAAAAGGCTGAGTGGGCAAAGGTGGACAGTGATACGTCTATAGGTATTCTAATGCCCATATGAGGAAACACTGTGAGGAAACACTGTCACCCCCTCCCCTTCTTTTTCTTTCCTGCCTTTTCTGATACTGTCTTTAAGAACTGTGGATAGAAACCCAGGTGCAGTTTTCTCTTT